ACCTGAAAGGACCCTGATTCCTATTCGATGCCCAATGTCCTGAGAACTACTCCTGAACTTCTGCCCTCATAGCCCACCTAGAAATACCCATGACCTGGGTTCAAATCTTGCCTCTGACACAACACCTTTGGGGCCTTGGGCAAACCATTAAGCCTCTTTGGGTCTCAGCTTCCTCATCTGTAAAGTCTGAGGGTTGGACTAGATGGTCCCCAAGGTCCTTTCCGTCTCTGAGACTAAGATCCCCAGGTCTAATTCCTCTGTGGCCCAGAGCATCGGGAGTCAGTCTTGGAGATCTGGCATGGGGTTATCATCTTCTGACCACTTTTGTGTGCTAAAGATCCCAGAAGGGATAGGCAGCCTTTGTCCTCTCTCTCTGGCAGCCTGTTCCAGGGACTGCCTCTCACCCAATTCACAACAGTCTGAAAGAGTTGCTGCCCCCAAATCTGCTAGGTCTGAGGAATGACAGGTGTGGGAAGAGAAGTTGGTCAAACATAGCTTCAAATGCACCCAAATCCCAAAATATTTATAGCAGCACTTTTTTGTGTATGGGATGGAAAGGATTGGTAACAAAATAGATGCCCATTGTTTGGGGAGTGGCTAAACAAATATTACTGTGCTGCAAGAAATTATGTGTGTGATGAATACAGAGAAACATGGAAAGACCTATAGGAACATGATGCAGGGTGAAGAAAGCAAAGCCAAGAAGACGATATGCACACTAACTACAGCAATAAACATGGAAAGAACCACAAAAAAAAAAAAAAGTGAGTGTGGAAAATTATAAAGAACTAGCATAACTTGAAAGAAGAGATATAAGAAGACATTCCCACCCCATCCCTCTGTAGAGGTGGGAGGTCCACAAGTTACTTTGTACATATTTTTAGATTTTTTTTTTGGATGTATTGATGTTGTGCTGATTTTTTCCATTTCTTTTTCTCTTTTTGTTTTTTAAAGTATTATTTGTTATATAGGATGGCTTACTGGGAGAGGGAGGGGAAAGGATAGTGAGGGAAACTATGGCGATGTAAAAAACCAAAAAATATTAAAGAAAACTTTTTTTACCGCCTCTGGATTGTTTTACGAGCTTTCCTTCTAATAATGCTGGATCAGGTCAAAAGTCAATACTTTCACTTGTAAAGTGTTGTTATCGTGTGTCAAATACTGTTACAGAATAAGTGTTGTACCTTTCCCCTCCCCAACTATTTTGGCTCTGAAAAGACATCCCTGACTGGCCTCCACCCTGGGAGCTATTGAACTGTGCTGGTACTGCTGGTCTTTCGAATAATGTAGAATGCCAAGGGAGGAAGGAAGACAATGTCAGAGTCAAAAGGGACCTACCTTAGACATCATCTAGGACAACTGTGTGCCCCACCATCACTGCCACCTTTTACAGGGAAGAAAAAGAAAGTAAATTTGAAAAAAAGAAAGTAAATTATACACAATCATACAACTAGTTAGCAGCAGAGCCCAGACAGAACTTTTAGGTCTTCTGTCTGGATGTCCAGAGCTCTCACCTATCTAGCTGTGCACTTCCCCGACTTGTCTCCTTATTTGTAAAATGGGGGTAATTTGTGCACTACTTCTATCACTGGGGCATTATGAGGCAAGCACATTGTATAATCCCTAGAGCATTACAGAAATGTGAGCTGTTTTTATTCCTACTTCAATGGTATTCTCTTCATTTTCTCTTCTTGGGTATTTCCTCAATTCAAGTTGTCCATTCATGTGTTCATTCATTCATTTTTATTTCAACACTTCAAGGGTTGATAATTTCACTTAGGTAAGGTCAATATGCATCCATTCATTCATTCACCGGTGTTTAGCAGACTCATAGGAAATGCTCTACGCTAGGATACTGAAATCCTCTAGAATATCCTATTTCTCTCACCTAGAGGCATAACTGGGAATGTTTTCACCTGGGACAAAAACAGTACACACACACACACACACACACACAATATCAAAGAAAGTGGCAGTGGCTAGGGGGAGTGGTGAGAGGTCACCAAGGTCCAGATCCTCAGTTCATAGTGGGATAGGCTGCTGCCTGGGAGAGGGGAATGCTTACATAGACTAGGAACCACCTGCTTTGGGTCACAATGGCTGGGATGGTCTTTGATAGGCATATGGGGCCCTGGGAACTCTGGAGTCACAATCCAGGCTTTTCCCAAGGAATTGCTTCTTTCAACCAGGGTTGTTACCTGACAAACCAAGGTTCTTCAGTTCCCCCCAGCCCCTACCCCAGCACCCCAATAAAAAGCATGTCCAAGGATTAGACACTTGCTAGTGTGAAGGGGCCTTCAACTAACCAAGTATTACTTCTCTCAGTAGGGCCACCTTCCCCACAAACGTCCCCAAGGGCCAGGTCAGCAAAGAATCACATAGACTGGATGCTAGTTTCAACCAATGTGTGTGGGGAAAATATACCGTAGTCTCCCAAAATAGAAAGGGAACTCCCTCCATGTCTGCGTGTGTGAGAAAACCCTTGCTGCCCTGCCCTAGATGGCTTGGCTCACATCTCTGCCTGAGAGAGGTGAGAACCAACTCTTACTCGGCTTAGAGAAGCAGTAAGAGGAGATGGAAAGGCGTCTGGGTGGGGAATGAGGAGATCCAGGTTTCAATTAAAAAAAAAGTAATGATTATAATGACTTTTATTAATAATAAATACTAAAAAGGAATGCTATTTGTTGTTGTTGTTCACTTGTTCAGTTGCATCCAATTCTTCATGACGCCATTTGATTTTCTTGGCAAAGATACTGGAGTAGTTTGCCATTTACTTCTCTAGTTCATTTTACAGATGAGGACACTCAAGCAAACAGGGTTAAGTGACTTGGCCAAGGTCACACAGCTAGTTAAGTGTCTGAAGCCAGATTTGAACTCACAAAGACAGTCTTCCTAACTCCAGTCCATTGTGCCACCTAGTTGCTAAGACACAAAATAAATGACAGGGTGTGGGAAGGTACTATTGACAGTCAGGAGTGCAGAGTCCTTGGTGGGGGTAGGGGTTAGAGGAGGACAGACTCTGGTCAGCTGCCCTGGACTAAGCAGGCTCCTAAGTCACTCAATAAGCATTTATTAAGTGCCTGCTATGTGTCAGGAACTGTGCTAAGTGCTAGGGATAGGTAAAAAAAGCAAAAGACAGTCCCTGCCTTCAAGGAGCTGACAATCGAATGGGTTAGACAACAAATATTTACAAACAAGATATGTACAGGATAAATAGGAAATAATTAACAGAGAGAAAGCACTAGAACTAAGAGGGGTTGGGAAAAGCCTCCCATAGAAGGTGGAATTTTAGTCGGGACTTGAAAGAAGCCAGGAGGTGGAGATGAGGAAGGAGGGCATTCTAAAGCATGGGACACAGCCAGAAAAGAACACTTGGGGCTAGAAGGAGTATCTTGTTCTTGGAGTAGGCAGGAGGTCTGGGTCACTGGATTGAATACAAGTACCTGGTCTGGTATTCTAGCACCTGCCTTTGCTACTGGCCACTGGCCATTGGATTATGCTGGGTCCCATTTAATACAAAGTTTCAAAGGAAATATGGCCTCCAGAGAAGACTTACGAGCTGAGAGGACAAGAGGCAGGGGAAGAGTGCCCTATGGCTTCAGAAAGGATTTACCCACAGCCTCCACACAGAACGCTGATGTGGAACCCTTAATTGTCTCAGTAAAGGTATTCTGGTTGCAATACAGGTGTGGCCCAGGTCAGCATTTATAACCAGAGGAATCAGGAGATGGGAATAAGCAGAGGGTTTCCACACATGGATCAGAATATGGGGCTGGGCATAAGGGTCAACATGTTGGACTGGACATAGATCAACACATGGGGCTAGACATAGGCCATTAAAGGGGACTGGACTCTGAAGAGGCATCAGAACCATTTCCTCAGAGATGACCTTAGGAGTCCCTATCCAGTGGGGATAACCGTGTCTATACTGAGCTCAGTCTATGTGACCTCAAGACTCATCTGGCCTTTGCCACCACAAACCCTTCTAACCCACTTCAACTCTGGAGGTCAACTTTCACCAACCTTCTCAGACCACTCTCCTTTCCCACAGGGAAAGTCACTTTAAGCTCTCGGCCTAGACGTCCTGTTTTGGACACACAACTCCCTCTATGGCCCCAAGATGCTGGTGGAAAGGCCTGGTATCTGCATAGGCAGCTCATGGTTCATTGGGAGGGAGAAGAGAAAAGATGAATTCCAAGGACTCTAGGAGTAGGGATCTAATGGGGATGGGAATAGGATTGATCTGGCCCAGGGCTCTAGGGAAAGGGGGCTGATGGGACGGGTGTCCTGATTGTTCGGAGTTGATGGTGGTGGTAGAGGGGTAAATTGTGAGGTTGCTGAATTCACTGAACACGAATGAACTGGGATGGAGGTACTGAAGAGGATGAGCGCAGGCTTGACAGAATACGAGGGATGAGGGGAAGATTCAAAGTGAATGAGATGAGGGAGCTCAGGGGAAAATGAGGTGGCTGCAACCGAATAAGGTGAGGGAGATGAGTGGGATGAATAGGGGGGAGGAGGTGGGGGCTGCAGCTGATTAGGTCAGGAAACCAAAGAGAGCTGATTTGGGTCCCAAGGCTGAGGGCAAGTTTGTGGGTTGAACCTAGAAGTCCAGTTTTTCTCTGGCACTACCTGGGGCTAGACAGACCCATTGGAATCAAAAAGGGGAGACAGCAGTCTTTGATCCCAGCAAAGGCAGGAAGAACATTTGGGGCTGAGGGGCAACTGGTGACAGACTTAGGTAGAGTGAGTTGCCTCTCCTCCCCCCAATTCAGGTTAGCCCTTTGGCACTCCTCTCCCAACCCCCAAACCAAAAGCCTTGGGCCACATCCTCAGAGCCCCCAGCCTGAAGCTGACCAATAGGAAAGGAGTTGGGTGGGGCGAGGACTGAGGCCGAGGATAAAAGGAGGGCCCTTGAGCCAGTGGACAGAGCACTCAGCTTTCATCGCTATCTCCTGTACTCTCACCTCAGGACTGTCACCACCCCTTTGCAACCAGCCATGGTGAACTGGTCAGCAGAAGAGAAACACATCATTTCAGCCATCTGGGCCAAGATTGACATCGAGGAAGTGGGGGCCGCTGCCCTTACCAGGTGGGAGAAGAGACCTTGGCTGTTGCAGGGCTTGGGCTGGGGGGGGCATGCGGCTAACTGGGTTTAGCTGAGGGGACCGGGGTCGAATGCTTTCTCTGCTGACCAAACGCCTGGGGCGAAGGAGAGGGAGGATGGAAGATGGGAAAACCAGCTGGAGGCCTTATGTGAATTGGCCCGAGAAAACCTTTGGCTGATCATTCTCTTCCTGTCTCTGGGTTTCAGGTTATTAGTCGTCTACCCCTGGACTCAGAGGTACTTCAGCAACTTTGGGAACCTCTCCAGCCCCACAGCCATTGAGGGGAACCCCCGGGTCAAAAACCATGGCAAGAAGGTGCTGACCTCATTTGGTGAGGCTGTGAAGAACCTGGACAACGTGAAGGCCACCTTCGACAAGCTGAGTCAGCTACACTCAGACAAGCTGCATGTCGACCCCCAGAATTTTAGGGTGAGTACTTCTCTTCCATTTCTCTGGGGCTTAGGGGGACAAGGCTTACAAATTCTAAAAACTGGAAGGTACTTCAGTTGGCATATAGTCCAACCTCCTGTTTGAAAATCTCCAAGACAGGGAGCTCATGTTCATAGACTCATTTCCTCTTCCCCACGACCAGGCTTCATGCATTGAGCATGAGCATGAGACCCTATCCTTTTCCCTACTCCAACCCCAACTTTTCTCTGGGCTCACAATCTCTCTCTCCCTCAAGGATCTTGAAACAGAGACGACCCCCCCCCCCTTTACTCCCTGGGGATGTTGTTTCAAACTCCTAAGAGTGCCAGTCAGAAAGGGCCTTAAAAATCCTCTAACTTAATCCCTCTTGCGTAGATAGGGAAATTTAGGCCCAAAAAGGGAACATGATGTGCTCCATCCCACTAAAATGAACCATTCACTTAGCACAAGCCAGACCCTGACTTTTGTTCAGGCACACCTTTATTTTTTCCAAGGCTTACTATTAGTCCAGCCCTCAGGTAGCACATTCACTCTGCTTCCCTCAGGCATGGAACCCTTCTCCTATTTGTATGGAAACAGCTCAAGCCTGATCCTCTGTCCTCTTTTCCTTCTAGCTCCTCGGAGACAATCTGATCATTGTCTTGGCAGCTACCTTGGGCAAGGACTTTACTTCCGAGGCCCAGGCTGCCTGGCAGAAGCTGGTGGGAGTGGTGGCCGCTGCCCTGAGCAGAAACTACCACTGAGCACCTCAGAAGGGGCACCCATAGAGGATCCACTACTAGGAGAGCTCCTTGAGTGGGAGGGAAGGGAACAGAGGAAGCATGCGCTACCTCCACGCATAGTGACTATGGTTAAATACAATAAAGTTGAACTATATGACAAATCTTTGTCTAGTTGTCTCTTTCTAGGAAGGTAAAACTGAAGATGATGCTTTTGAGGATCTAGGATAAAAGAAAGGAAGCTTAGCTGCTTCAAGATAGTGAGTGTTTTCTTCCCCTCTCCCTAATTCTGATCATGGAGTCCCTATCAAGAATTAAGATAACTTTTGGGAAGTTAGGTTCACAGGAAGCTTCTCCTCGACTTCTGGGTTTTCTTCCACAGCAATGCATATTCCTACCTTTCTCCTCTCAAAAATTTTCCTTCAAGGTCGACCTCAAATCCAACCTCCTTCAGGAAACTGACCCTGACTACATTAAACTCCTAAAACATTTAGCATGCTTATCCCTCATCTGGCTCTTGGCTAATGCTGCATAGCATTATAGTTTTGTTTTCTCAACTAGACTGAATTCTAGTGAGGCAAGTCTGTACTGCCTCCACTCCCCAGTACTTTTCACTGTTGGGGATAAAACATATGTTGAATAATTATTCCATTCCCAGCTTTGAGGATGCCTTCTTAGGCTATACTGGTTCTGCAGATCATCTTTTATTCACAGGGCAGAGCGTCAGAGCTAAGAGGAAACAAAATATAAAATACCAATCATTGTAAGCTACTTGAAGATGGAATGCTAGGAGATAATGTGGCATATCTGGACAAAAAGCTAAACTCTGAATCAGAAAGACCTGGATTTAAATCTAGCCTTTGATGTATTGCATAACCCCTGGAAAAAAGTCATTTAACCTTTCGATACTCCCAGCATCTGGCTCTTGACTAATGCAAGTGCCAGCTAATCTGCTTTGTGAGTAGAAATTTCCTCTTCAGGAGCAGATGGATTTCAGCTAAACCTGTAAAGACTCACATGAACTAATGCTGAGTGAAGTGAGCAGCACCAGAACATTGTACACAGGAACAGCAATATTGTTCGATGACCCACTCTGATAATCAGACTTAGCTCTTCTCAGCAATACAATGATCTAAGACAATTCCAAGACTCATGATGGAAAATGCTATCCGTTTCCAGAGAAAGAAATAGGGAGTCTGAATGCAGATCAAAGCATTTTTCTTTTGTTTTTTCCCTTTTGTTCTGATTCTTCTTTTACAACAAGACTAAGGTGGAATTATGTTTTAACATGATTATACATGTATAATCTGTATTAGATTGCATGCTGTCTTGGGAAGGGGGAAGGAGAGAGGGGAGAAATTTGGGACTCAAAGTCTTATAAAAGTGAATGTTGAAAACTAAAAATAAATAAAAAAACAGTATTTAAAAAAAAAAAAAGAAATTTCCTCATCAGGAGCTCCCCACATCAATAAAATCACAAGTGAGATCCACATTCCTCACTCCAATTCCCACCCCCAACAGAACCTACCATAAAATGTTAGGATATAGAATAGTGGTGCTGAAAGGGACCTTGAAACAAAGAATATTAGAACATGGAATGCAGTATTAGAACTAGACGAAATTTTACCGAGGAAATAAGCACAAGGGAGAAATGATGTTAGAAGTTATTTCTAAGACTGGAGCCAAGGAGAAAGTTCTTAGCTGGAAAGAACATTCTTCCCCAAGTCCACTTTTCTTATTCCCCTGTGGGAACTGGAGTGTAAGTTAGGCATGGCCCCATTGCAAAATAGAATCCTAGAGAGCTTTTGGCCAAAGCTTTTGCTTTCACATTGTGTTTGGAGGTGGGGGGTGGTATCCTTTCTCTTTCAGGGTGCCCTGGATGGTCATGGTCCATGATGAAGGGAGAAAGCATAAGCCAGTGACAGGAAGAGGAAAGAATTTTGAGAGTCAGGGCAACAGCAACTCTTGGTGCTTCAAGTGTTCAGGTAACAGTGTAACATTACATAACATTCACTGTACTTAGGGTTCTCCTTTTATAGCCCAACATGGGATGCCGCACACACATAGTAGATGTCCAATGAATGAGATGATATGTGCAGCTCATATGCTCCTATCCCCATTAGTTGGGGGCCCAGCTGATAAACTCTTGAGGCCAAGTTATAAAAATGTCTTGATGGCAAAGATACCAAGCCTGATGTCAGCAAGGAGCTATCTCAATCAGTAGATGCTCTAGTCTGAGCCATCTATACTCCATCCCCATTAAGAACCGGCAACAGAGAATGAATCCTCACATGTAGGCACTATCATCACTAATATCTGCCAAGAAGAAACAAGCTATACATTCCTCATCTTGTTTCCTCATGTTAAGATCACCACCTCTAGGAACTTGATTACAACAATAAGTGGAATCTAATTAGATATAATTGAGTCACATATTCAGGCAATTTTAACGTTTTGTTGCAAACCCCAATTAAGAGTTTTAATGAGATCTTAAACTTTGCCTTCTGCTGCCCATTTAATCATCTGAACTTTACTGAATGCCCATTATATGGAAGGCCATGCTGGTGACAGATATGTCCTTACCTTCAAGAAACTCAATCTAGTAACCTTGTGTTGTGGGCCTGGAGCAGTTCTGGGGCCAGAGAAAAAGAGTAAGATGTATGATACTCACGGGCCGTGAGTATCAGTAGCTTCCCAGTTGTCATCATCACCAGTGAGCTAGCTTTCTGGGTGACCCAAAGAAAACTCTTCCTTCCCTGCCTCTCACAGCCTGCTAAAGCCGTATTACTTTGCTAGCTCCATTTCATAGGTTTTAAGGTTTATAAAGTGCTTGACATACATAACTTCCTCTGATCTTCACAACACTATGTTACTGGTGCTAGTCACCCCCATTTTATAGATGAGGAAAAAGGCTTATTAATAGAAAGATGCGATGACTTGGCCAGGATCACCCAACTAGGTAGTATATAGGCTTGAGGAAGGACTTGAACCTAAGCCTAGTGCTTTTATCTGTTACATTGCCTCTTAAGAACAAGCAAGAAAAGGAAATAAGCCATTGGTACAAAGTTAATTAGGACCATACCTAGTGGGTACCTCTATTAGCAACAAGTACAGAACAACACAGCTGAGGCCACACATAGGTTGACAGAGGGGCTCCATTACCCACTGTTAAAGGAATGAGCAGAGATTATGTACTGTCTTCAGTCTTGGTTTACCACTGTTGTACTAGCAAACTTCTTAAGTAACAGGGTGGTGTGTTAAGAGTGGCAGTGATCATCCAGATGTCTCAAATGACACTTGGTTGGCTATGGCAGTCTGTTTCCCTGTGTGTGGTCATGGCGGCTATACCTCTGGAACTCGTTAGGGACTCAGGTTGTGGCTACTTGGGTATTATCACACGAACTATGATCAATAAATGCAATGTGCTGGTCCATGGTTAAGTGTCTTGCAGATTTGGTAGAAAAATAAAAATCTGACCCTTCACAACTAAACCTCAATATCTCCCATTACAAGGAAAGACTGTCTAGTGCTACACATCCTTGTGACAGTGCTGCATATTAACTCTACAGAAATACCTGGGATTGTGAAAGAAGGTAATTTTGAGGTCAAATTCCAGACCTACTCATGAGAGCACCACAGCCCACATTAGCACTGGGGAATGGTCACCAGTAACTCCCCAACCTCTGCTTCAGAAGTACCCTGCTATCCTGGCCTGGCCACAAAAATCAGCTCCTTAATCCAACAGAGACAAAACAGGGTTTAAGAAAGACAGCTTTATTAGATGAGTAAGGGAAGTAACAAAGTATGCTGGGTATAAAGTTTATGCAAATAGTTACAAAAAGAGCATACAATTGTTAGTTCCAACCCTTCTGGTCCAATCTTATCTGAACCACTGAAGTCCCTGGTTCCACTGCTCTTAAGCCTATTTTGACTCAAATATTTATTAAATACCAGGGTGCAAAGTACTACTTCTCTGCATCTCCTCCCCCTTCCAATTTGATGAGGGAGAAAACACTCTAAGTAAATCAATGTCTTTCTCTAGAAAATGAGTTGTTAGAGGTAAGGAGCAGTATTTCTACCACCCCTACCTCCCCCAATCCCCTTTTAAAAGATCACTTAAATATTTTATTAGAATTTCTAAATCATCCAGGAGAAATTAATATCCATCCAACACCTAACACATACAAAATATACTACAACGAAAAGACAACGTCTTTTTATCTACTCCATTGTGTTGCATAGGCTTCAGATATTTTAAAATATGTAATTCTATAGGTGCGGGTGCTTCTTCTAGAGACCCGTTGTAACTCCCACCCCAAGCCCAAGCCTTATGAGTTATTAAGTCATTCAGCCTCTGAATTGGTCAGGCTACTCTTCATTAACCTGTGATCCGAACAATTCTATTTTTGGACCTACCGGAGTTTGTATTCTGCTAGAATTACTTCTGATAGATAACCCAGAGTCATCTCCCTCAAAATGAGATATTGGAAAAGAATTTTGGGAACTAATAAAAAAAAATTGTTGAATCAATTCCTTTTGTAAATTTGGCCAAATCTTATCTTTCTCTGGGCCCCTTTCTTCACTTATAAAATAAAGGGGTTAGAGAAGATGATCTCTAATATCCCCACAAGCTTTAACATTTTATGACTGTCTAAAATTATCTAGCATTAGCAATGACTAACAGCTATAGAATTCTCCTGTTTCTGGAGTACTACAGATAGGTAAATGATGCTCTACAAACTTTCATTCTCAAGTCTGGTCAAAAAATATTAGAACCCAAACATGTTTGGAACAGATTAGCTGACCAGATGGAGAGATCAAGTAAGAATTTAATGGGCTAGAATCAATAACTGTACCTCAATGTATGCCTAAAATCCTTAGAGTCCCAGGGATAGGTCACTTAATGAGAAAGCTTTTATCATCGCTGAATGCATGGGACGGAATCCTTCAGAAGCTTGGGGAAGGGTCTTCTGATCCTTGTCCTCATTTTATTCAAACATGTAATGAGTGAACTCCATTGCTCAGCTGAGAATAGAGTCCTTTTC